TAAGATCATCGAGTCAAACCATTAACCTAACACTGCCAAGTCTACCAGTAAACCATGTCCGTAAGTGCCACATGTACACATATTCTAAATACCTTCAGGGATGGTCACTCAACCACTTCCCTGAGCAGCCTGTTCCAATGCTTGACAGCCCTTTTGGTGAAGAAATTTCTCCTAATATCCAGTCCAAACCGTCCCTGGGACAACCTGAGGGTATTTCCTGTTGTCCTATCACTTGTTATTTGGGAAGAGAGACCAACACCCACCTTACTACAGCGTCCTTTCAGGTAGTTGTAGAGAGCGATAATGCCTCCCCTCAGCCTCCTTTTCTCCAAACTAAACCCACTGCAGTTCCTCACCAGACTTGTGCTCCAGACCCTTCACCAGCTTCACTGCCATTCTTTGGACATGCTCCAGCACGCCAGTGTCTGTTTTGGAGTGAGGGGCCAAGAACTGAACACAGTATTCGAGGTGCGGCCTCACCAGTGCTGAGTACAGTAGTATGATCCTGCTCGCCACGCTACTTCTGATGCAAGCCAGGATGCCATTGGCCGTCTTGCCACCTGGCACATACCATAACAATAATTTCAAATGCATGTCATAATTTCTTTGTGGGTTGTTGTTTGTTTTTTGTTTTGTTTTTTCTTTTTCAAACCTGTATTTTTTCACACTTCTTCTGTGTCTTCTTTATTTCATCTAACTCTACCTGAGGGAGAGTTGAGGTACCAGTTTTATGGTGTTAATCTGACAGGACAAAATAATTTCAAGGTGCTTTTGAGCTCATTTGCAAAATTTGTAGAAGAAGTTAATATTTGGTTGTTTTTTATCCATGTCTGAATAAGCCTGTAGAAGAACATGTTAATAGATTGATGGGTGTAATGAGGTTGTATGTAACCAGTGCTTGCAGGTTGGTAAAATTCCTACCTATTTTGAAGAACATTCCTAGTCAATAGCTCTTTGGTCCTTGCTCTAAACCAAATAAGGTGATTCTCCTCGTTTTCCAAATCACTTTTCATGTTTTGTTATATATTTTCTGGCAACTGTAGTTTGACTGAAATTTCATCATTTTCATTCAGAGAGGTCCTCATTAGTCACAGTAAATGGATTCTGTGTGCATCATTACCTTCATTATCATAGGAAGGAAGAATGGGTGCTTATCTTGTGTTAATGATTTAAGAATACGTATATTGTGTATGAATAACTTGCCCTCAATTGTGTTGGGTGTTTTTAAATTTATTTATTTTTTGTGTGAGTTTGGTATTTCTGAAGGAGTTGAGGACTACTCTTAGGATTGGGGTAACCTCAGTAGCACACCAAATAGACCTGGACATAGACAACCTTGACACAATGCCCATTTACTTATCTTCTGTATGTGCAGGAATGTAATGATAATTAATTACTTTATCGATACTGTTTCCAGTGATGGAGACAATTTTCACAGAACAACCAACTAATTATAAGTAGATACTTGCTTTCAGTGTACTTACGATGTCTTCATAGTATACTGATGGTCATAAAATTGCAGTGGTCCTTCATTTCCTGGTACTTTAACTCCAACTTTCACAAAGTTGTGACTATCTTCCAGAATATCAGGACTATTAAATAGGTGTTAAAAATGGCCTGTAAAGGAAAGAGAAAGGTCTATGTTGTATTGTTCTGTTCCTGGAATGAGATTAGTAAGTTTCTTCTTGTCACGCTTGAGAGGTGGCCAATGTCAGCCTCATGAAGTTCAACCAAGCCAAGTGCAAGGTCCTGCACCTGGGTCAGCACAACCCCAGGCACAGCTACAGGTTGGGTGGAGGAGAGATTCAGAGCAGCCTTGTGGAGAAGGACTTGAGGGTGGTGGTTGATGAGAAACTGAACATGAGCCAGCTTCAGTGTGCGCTTGCAGCCCAGAAACCAACCGTATCCTGGGCTGCATCAAAAGAAGCGTGACCAGCAGGTCGAAGGAGGTGATCCTGCACCTCTACTGACAGCTGTCCCAACAAAATAATATTTACATACAATGACTACATTTGTTTAGCAGGTATTACAATGCTACTCCTAAACCCCTTCTTTGTGTAAGGTTTGCAGTGTCGGGACACAGGCCAAGTATCCACTCTGCTAAAGAGAAAATGTTCTTTTATGAGAACAAAGGTGAACATTTGATGGGAAGAAAAAAAAATAAAGAGGTATAATCGATTTCACTCTGAAGTAAGCTCATGGGAGTCATATCTCTGCTCTCGTGAGACCCAGCTTAGAGTACTGTGTGCAGTTCCAGTGTCCTCAAGAAAAGAAGGACATGGAGCTGTTGGAGCGAGGCCAGAGGAGGGCCATGAGGATGATGAGAGGCCTGGAGCATCTGCCATATGCAGATAGGCTGAGAAAGTTTGGGCTGTTGAGCCTGGAGAAGAGAAGGCTGCATGGAGACCATAGCAGTATCTGAAGGGAGCCTACAAGGATGCTGGAGAAGGGACTCTTTATCAGGGATTGTAGTGATAGGACAAGGGGTAAACTGAAACAGGGGAAGTTCAGATTAGATATAAGGAAGAAGTTCTTTACTGTGAGGGTGGTGAGGCACTGGAACAGGTTGCCGAGAGAAGTGGTAAATGCTCCACCCCTGGCAGTGTTCAAGGCCACGTTGGACATAGCCTTGGGCAACATGGTCCAGAGTGAGGCTTTCCTGTCCATGGCAGGGAGGTTGGAACTAGGTGATCTTAAGGCCTAACTGTTTTATGATTCTGTGATTTTTTTGTTGTCCTCTAGGATTCGTATCCTAGTAGCAGAGTAGGGCTTCATGATGAAACAAAGATAAGAATTTATTAAGATATTAATAGCGTAAGCAGCTAAAGGAAATTAACATTACTGTGTACTGTAGAGCTACTGCTAATAATAGAGACACTTCTTGTAGTGGGTGCCTTGAGAAGAAAGGTTTGGTTTTTCAGTACCTTGACAGAGGGAAGATAATGGCATTGGGACTGCAAGAGGCTTTTCTGGTACTGCAGGATGAAGTAGGAGAAGGCTTGAGTATGGCAAGTCTGTTTATAGGCACTAGTAACAAGAAAGAATTGCTGAGGGAAAAGGTTCCTGTGTGGTTAAAACAGGGAATGAACTGGAATAATGCATGAAATCCATAGGGACTTAGGACTCAAACCCAGGGGCATCTCGAGTGACTTCTGTCCCTATGCTTACAGGTTATGTTTTTAGCCTTGTAAGTTCATAAAACATCAGTTTTACAGACTGCGGTGAGCCACCCAATAATCTGAGAATTGAATGCCACAAAATACTATGTGCTGCTGGAAGACAGCAAAAGGGCATTACAAATGACTTTGCAATAGGAACAGTTTACTAGGTGAAATTGTTTCGGTAATATAAGAAATTGTCCCATGCTGCTGAGGAACGTCACATCTGTTCTACACCATTTTTCCCAGACCTTTCATCTTGGCTAAGCCTTGTTGATGGAAAACTCTTCCTGGCTTGTCATCTGACCATTGTTTTAGTGCTAAACATGTAAGTAAAGCTAGTACGAGCTGTTCTACATTCTCCTCTGCATCCTCTCTCTAATCTTGGTTGCCCTGTAATGCTTCAAAGAAAGCCCAGGTTACAGGGATCTTCAGAAGTAGACTTTACCTTATGAAGAAAGAAAATTTTTCTTACATAGGTAGGTAACTGAACTACGACATAGGAATATAAATGTAATGAAGCAAACTTGAGTAGACAGTATGGTAACCAAGACTTCTGTTGACTGTCCTAGGATATAAACAAACCAGACCCCAAAGGACTGTTGGCGAAATCCTCAATTTCTAATCAGCAGTTCCCTCTATTTTTCCAGTTAGAATACTTGATGCAGTTGGGTATACTGGGAACTTCATGTAGGCTTGGCATCCAACTTGAATGAACAGATAGAAGATACTATGTGCTTATTCCATATTGTACCTAATCTGTGTTAAGTTTAAATAAACTTGGACTGTGAATATATGCTTTTGAGATAATATATAAAGGATTAAGAGACTTCGAAGATTGCATAAGAAGGGAAATAATTTTGTATAATCTTGGTTTTTTTAAATGCATCAAGTATTCCATAATTCTGTATGAGATTAGTTTTTGTTAACTGGTTGAATATTCTTTTTGAGAAATGGTAAAAGATTTCCAGCAGCATGTGAGGTCTGCCCAGGCAAATGCTCCAAATAGATGCAAAAGCAGCATCTAAATCAAAAACATATAATGTAGCAAATTTGCACAAATAGATGATAATTTTTTTTTTTTTGCTTCACAAGAACTAATGGAAGGAGGGGACAGATTTTGATGATGTTGTGTTTTCTTATATGACTTAAACCATAAATTATTTTAAGGTTTTGGTTGGTTGGTTGGTTTTGCTTTTTATTTTATTATACTTAAATAATTTCCTTTTTTAAAAAGATAATCTCATTTGAAATTTAACGTCTAAACTCCCTAGGCTAAAATCACAAACCAGAAGGCAGAATTACCAGAAATGCAGATCACTGTTTTGTTTCATATAGATTTTTCTCTATATGTGGACCTGGGACTGTGCAATGGGTCTGTGTTGGTCCAAAGTACAGATAGGCAAAAATCCCCAAATCCCAAAAATGATCAAAAGGTGACATTGCTTATGCCTCCTTTCCTATCACTCCTTTCCCTCTTTACCCCCCGACACCTGAAAGTCGGAAACATGGGAAATCGTATATCTGATTACCGTGTTGTATATTCTGGTACTAGGTTGCATTTTGAGCTGCCTTTGCACTTGTATTTATTACATTCCAGAGATTTTTTGAAAGAAAAGATCAGTAGGAGTGCTGTACATCTTCAGGTTATCTGAGATGTGCTCATACTTGACTGGTTAAACACAAGATGTGTATGGGGGTTAAGATTTATTTTGTTTGCTGATTTTGTGGGAGAGGGAATATACTGCAAGAGCATAGGCCAAAAAAAAAAAGTTTTTTAAATTACTCACTTTCAGCAAGAATGTTTTAATACTTTAATTAAAATTGACACTTTTTCTACAGCTTCTGGAAAGACATAAGAATACTGAAAGCATGGTAGAGCTGCTTGAACTGTATCAAATGGAAGATGAAGCCTACAGTAGTCTTGCAGAAGCTACCACAGAGCTTTACCAGTACTTACTACAGCCATTCCGAGACATGAGGGAACTTGCAATGCTTAGAAGACAGCAGATAAAGGTATGATAAAAGTAACTAAACTTCCTATTACTGGAGAAATCATGCGTCTTAGTTACTATTTAATACTTTTGTTACGCAGTGTATGCAGTGATGGTTTGTCCACTAATTGTTGACCCTGTATTTCTGGTTTCTCCATTCAGAGGAGTGCTTTTGAAGAATGAGAATGTCTGATTTTACACCTGTTTATCTCGCTGTGTTTGACTGTTCAAATTCGTTGTTGAATTTGATAGGTGAAACTTAGAATTATATGGTTACTGGGAATACTGACTAAAATATAAAATAGAGACATAGATACACTATCTGTGCTGTTGTTATTTTTTTGGAAAGTTTACACAGGAAGTTACTTTAAGTTTTAGTTTTCTGAGATAATCTGATTAGCCATGAAAAGTAAGTAGTTTTTCATCTAATGTTGTGAAATACTTAAACATGAAAGTGTATTAAAAGTATATAATTTTTTGCAAAATTTAACAGTATATTTTTCTAAGAGCTAGAAGAAGTATAGCCAGCTGAAGAATACTGCATTTTGGTAAAACTGTTTCATAACACAAGTGTTTGTTTTATTTTAAAATAATTCTAATTTTAAATACTTAACCAAAAATAACAAATGTGACCTCCCTTTATTGCATCTCAGAAGTACTTTTGATAAAGTCGTTATCTCCGGTGCAGATTAAGACTGTAGCCTTCTGATTCTTCTAATATATGTATTGCAACATAAAAGCTAAAATAGGTCTGGTTTATTTGCAAATGTCAGTTTATCTCAGTTTGGCACCCAATCAGTTAGCCAACATTGTTATTAATGGTTTCAATTTTAAAAAGACAGCTTTTTTTTTTTTCCCTCTGGTTTTGATTATAGAATGAGGAAGGGAGGCAAGAGGATTTATGATTCCAAAACTAGTTTTATTTTGAGCTACTGCTGTGTCCCTAAAGTAATTTTTTCAAAACGTTCAGCAGTCTGAAACTAACTCAGTGAGGTAATGTGGTGATACTTGAACTAGAAGTGTGGAATTGTAAATGCTGCTCCATAGACAATTGGGATGAATATTTTTTCAGATGTATTATGTGACTGAAGGTTATGAACACTACATTTAATGTAAAGCCTTCTTTAAAGCATGATGAAATAGTTCCCATTTTATTTGAATTTGCCACAGAGGAAAAGATAATTTGAGTTTTCTTTGTTCTTTTTACAAACGGGTAAAGGTAAATATATTGAGCAGTAAATATGAATTGTGTTGGGTTTAGTTTTGGGTTTTTTTGAGTTTTTGTTGGTTTTTGGTTTTGGTGGGTGTTTGTTTGTTTGTTTGTTTTTATTTTTTTAAAATCAATGATCTCTTGAATTCCAATTTTAAAATAACTTATTTTCTACTTTTCCTGAAAGAATAACCTTGGTAACTTTCAGGGACATGTTCTTGTGGTTGGTTATTTTAGTTGTACATAGTTGAATCAACTGTACATTAAGTTCTTTTCCTAACTTGGCAATTTCTGAGTTATAAAACTTGGTCATCTGTATTATGTGGTAGAGAAAGATGCCATCTCTTGTTTTTCATTTCATTGTTTGAGAGAAAGCAGTACTTGTATCTATGATGACAAAATATATATTACGCTGGGTAGCTAGGGTGGAAGAATTACTTTATAAATAGAACTTGCACATGAAATGGTTTGTGTTAACTTGCTGCATATGTTTTTCTGGCAGGCTTAATAATGGAACAAAAATCGTTGGGTTTCAGTAAACCCTAATGGCTGGGGTTTGCTCCATTTTAATGCATAACATAAGTATTGCTGATATTGACTACCTTAGTGAAATGGGAGCTGTGACCATATACTGTTTATGTATGAAGAGTGACAGGAGAAAGGTAAAGTTTAGATGTAGGGCAGGGTAAGGAATGAAAAATCTGCATAATGTGTTAATAAAATGAAAAAATAACTTACAAGGATAATTAAGCTTGAGTGCAAATACTAGTATTTAGTCAAGATTGCATATGCCTTCTGTAATTATTTTACATTTTTAGACCTGTATGTGCAGTTGTGTTCACTGGCTTTATAGAGAGAAAGAAACCACATTGCTGCTTTGAATTTTCTGGTCTTATAATTGTGGGCAGTACTTCACAGTCATGTTGAGTAGGCACTTCATTTGATCAAACCCTAGGTTAAATCAGGGAGAGGCTTTCTTTTTTCATGATTTTTTTTTTTTCTTTTAGTGTGCTTTTTACTAGATTACAGAAAAAAAAGGAAGGTAAATTGTTTCATAACATGTATGTTGATGTCAGTAAAACTTTGACACAAGCATTCTCAAAGGTCTGAACTGGACCGGATTTGCTTAACTAAGAACTGGTAATATCTTGATACAGGTGAGAGATTACAGTTATCATTACCTCTCAATTCATCTTCAGAAATGAGAACATTAAAATGTTCTTACATATTAAAAGCTCTATTAGCTTCATTGCATACATATCCATTCTTTTCACTGACATGTTAATTCACTTGAATGTGAGGTGTTTTTAAGGATTTGAAAAACACTAATGTTAAGGTCTAGCACTGGAAATAAGAGATGAGAGCAGCATATAGCTTCATAATTAATTAAACTTTTTTTTTTTCTTTGTTAAGTCATAGAATGCTTTATTATAATGTTGTGCTTCCCTTTCAAGGAGATACTGATATTACTGAAAATATAACCCTGGGTCAACTGTATGTGGATTTATTTATTGGTTTTGTACTTCATGGTGAATTGCAGTAATGAACCTTTTAACTAATTTGACTTTAATTTGTGTAAAATGAAATACTTAGAAATAAATTATGATGTATTGAACATTTTAAATTTTGGTTTTAAAAAGTATTTTCATGAAGTACGAAACAAGCTTACAGGACAAGATAAATCTAGTGATGAGGATAGCTAGCAAAATAGAGTTCTGTAAAAAAATACTTGGAGAATACTTTGAAAAAAGTCTCACAATCAACTGAATATGGTTTGGGGAAGAGGAATGGATGTCAGTGCTTCATACTCTAATTTGTAGTGTTGCTTTCATACATCAAATGGATGAGTTCTATATTACTAAATCCATGTTTTTATCAGTGGCTCTTGAATAACTGATGTCTTGGTGAGCTGATTTTTGAACTATACTTTTAATAATATTTTTGAGTGTATGGTAGTCTTGCAGTTAGAAACGAAAACAAAGCTACACAAGGCACACAGGAGGACACAAAAGCAGAATTCATTAAAATGTATAGATTACTTGCATGGTAATCAGCTCAATTTAATTTCTCTCACTTCTGCAACTCACACCCTGTAGTGCTTACAGACTAGTGACTTGTAGAAAACAAGGTGCCGAAAAACTCTTTGGTAAAAAACCTTGAGGTAGTACTCAGTGGAGTGACTGAAATACTTCAAAGAGTTCTTAAATTGCTTTTAGTATAGCTGTAGTTGAAGGTGTGTCCTAACATCATCAGAAATGATAGTTGAATAAACTTGGCTTTTGAAAAACATGTAGAGTATGGGAGAAATGGTAGTACAAGTTTATGCAAAATGTCTGGATTTGCAAATTAAGGTTGTAAACTTTGTTGAAATACTGCTGCCTTTTTTTTTTTTTTTTCCGAGAAACTGGTGTAATACTCTGAATTACGCCGTGATAGTCCTTACAGACAGTCTCAGTGTCTGTTTCAGAAGAGTTGTGTGCCAGTTTGTTTACATTCTGAACTATAAATCCTCTAACTATTGTATGAACGCATACCAAAATATTTTGCCTACTTAAAATCAGGGGTTTATGGGCTTTCTGAAAAAATAATGTTCTAAAGAGGCCACCTACGGAAGACAGGCTGGTAGTCTGAATCGGTGAGGAAACTGAACTCTTGCTGTGAGGTTGCTGATTACAAAAATGCAGCATGTATCTGATGCACTTAAATTTGCCTGTCTGCAAAGTGAAATGCTTTAACTTGATTTAGCCCTCAAGCTCACTTGCTTAAACAAGTTTTCAAATAACTAACAGAACATATCTTATTAAAAATAGATTTTTTTTTTTTTTTAAAGCTTTCTCTTTGAAAGTGAACTTTCTTTAGCCTGGAGCTCAGCCAATAAAGCAGAAATGTAAATAAAGGTTTTATGATATGCACATGGATAAATAAGGAAGGTATAATGAAGAGTGCACAATTTAGCTTAATTCTGTCAATTACCATTATAAAATACTTTAACTCAGTGGTTTAAATGCTCCTCTATATACACTGTTAGGTGTCTGGGGAAAAAAAAACAAAACAGTTGAATAATCTTAGTCATTCCTCTTGCCATAACCTTACTCGTCTATGATTTTTCTCTTCTGAATACTACTTCATTTTTCAGCATTCTCTGTAGTTCCGGAAAAAACATTTACCACTGCACTTTGCAGTACAGTGACATTATTGTTCAGTCTTCTTTCTGTATGTTCTAACACCTCGTTTGCTTTTTTGTTTGTTTCTTCCTTTACAATCTTTATTTAATGGTGTATGTCATTCTCCTATGTCTTGATTGATGATCAATACCCCCGTAGTTTGTGTTGCTAGTCACAGGTTCCAGATATTTTAAGGAATCTAGACCATCCAATCTAAGTTAGTTTGCCTGTATTAACATTAAAGTCCATGTCAGTATTCATTAGGATGAATCAAATAAAACTGTAAAGCCTTTTTGCAGCTGAGTGCTTCAACTTAATGTGTTTGGGGCTGTACATCTGGAATTATAACATATTTTGAGAAGTAGTGCTGGGTTTGTGTTACCAGTTGGGAGCATAGTTAAAATGTGTAAGGCTAACTTTGAGAAATCCCTGAATAGATCATGAAGCTGAAATACATACTTTCTGGCTTCTATATCCAGCAGGCTGTGTTTGGAGTTAGTTGTTTGGCCTCCTGGAATGTGTCAAAGGAACATAGTTGAGAGAGCTGAAACACTCCTTTATATATGAAGCTATTCTTTTTTGTGTATTGCCTCTGCCATCTGTAGTACTCCCTCAACTTACTTTCTTTTGTTCTTATAATTGATGGAC